GTGACATTCATCACTGGGATCTTGTACCTTTACATGATGTATCTTGGTTCTTATTTTTTCCCCATTCCCCTGCCCTCCCTTCACTCCCTCCACCCTTCCCTATTTACAAAGACTTCGTTTCCATGTTTTTCCCTTTCACCTATTTTTTCTTTTCCCTTCTTTCCTTTCCCTTTCTCCTCCCATCTCCCCTATTCCTTTAAACATTTTCTGCCTATTTCACATTATCAATTATACATTTTGATCCTTATTTACACTTTTAGTTTTTCACACCAGAGAAACTATTTGGTATTTACACGTGTGTGTCCTATTTATTTCACTTAAGGAGTATTGGCCTCAAACTCTTGATCCTCCTGCCTTGGCCTGTAGAATACTGAGATTACAGGTATACACCGCTGAAGTTTGACATTTTAGCTACCAATAAAGTTACAAGAGGGAAGGTCAAGACAAAAGAGAGGTTTAGTATTGTGGGTTGAGATGGAAATGAACTATTTATTTATAACAGGTAATAATTATTAATAATGAACTCTGTATTTGCTACTCCAATTGGAGAAATGTTTACTCCTTTACTATCAGATACCTAACAGGAATCAGGAGAGAACCTAATATACCTCCCTTGGGTCCCTAAGGTCAGCAAAGTTACAGGTTAGCAAGACAGATGAATCTGATGGGGAAAGAGACACAAAAGCTTCACTAACACGACCAGGGAAAGAAGGCCTCTAAGATTCACTGTGTCCCACAGGAGGCACTGTGAGCACTCTGTCCCTACTGTCCTCACCTCCACCAAACCTCCATGAGCGCAGCACAGTACTTCTCATCTAAAGAGATGAGAAAACATCTAGAAAGGCTAAGGGATTTGTCTAAGGCCTGTACAGCTTATCAGCAGGATTACAACCCAGAACTGTGTGGCCCACCGCCTCAGTTCCCAATGCTGCAACTGCACCAACAAACAGAAAAGAATTTTTAGAATATCTTGTGTCAAAGCACTGTTTCGTGCTTACCTCTTTGCTTCTTCTTTCTGCTGCTCTTTCCAACTACTCTCCATGTAACGTAAGGCATAATCACTTTCATCTTTGTACCTGATAAGAGGGAAATCAAAATGTTTTTAAAAGGCCAAAATTTAAAAATTAAATTCTCTACAGAACTGTATCTTCTTCATTTAAAAAATTCAACACCTGAGGGCCGGGGATTTAGCTCAGTGGTTCCGGTGCCTGCCTCTCAAGCGCAAGGTCCTGAGTTCGATCCCCAGTGCCAAAAAAAAAAAAAAAAAGAAAAAAATTCAACACCTGACGACAAAGACAATGAACCCTCCGAAAAGAACTATTCCTGAATCTAATACTGAAGCTACCAATCCAACAATGCTGCCTCAACTCATCTACACTTACTTGATAATGGTTTAACCTAGAACACAGAGCTAGGTTAGTGACAGGGTTTTTTTGTTGTTGTTTTTGAGGCCAGGTCACAATATGTTGCCCAAGCTGGCTGTGAACTTGCAACCCTCCTCCCCCAGCCTCCCAAGTGCTGTAGGTAGGATTACTGGCACACCTATCACCACATCTGGTTCAGACTGAATTTTTTCTTTTTTGTCATTTGTTTCATTTTTTAATTCTTTAGAGATCTCCAAATCATTCACTTTAATATATAACCAAATTGCTACTTAAAGACCAGCCATTAAAAAGAGGTTGTGAAACTAATATTTTGAGAACTGGATTATCAGCATGTTCTTCATCAAATTTATATGCTTCATCACAAAGATTCATCCTCGAATTTTTTTTTTTGGTACCGGGGATTGAACTCGGGTCCTTGTGCTTGCAAGGCAGGCAGCAGAACCACTGAGCTAAATCCCCGGCCCTCATGCCCAAATTTTAAGAAAAATCACTTCCTTGGCTGATTTGATGAAGCTGTCACAGAAACAATAATACATCTCAATAATTATATGACACATAAAACTGGACTGTAAATCTGGGAGCTAAAGATGTTAAAACAAGTCAAGACAAAAAGGCTGACAAGAGCTCTTAAATTTCAATAAACACAATCTGAGAAACTTTCAAATAGTAGCGGCTTCATTTTTAATTTTTCTTCTCTTTCTTCTAGTTCTTGTCAGTATTCTCTCATCCTTTCCTTTTCACTCTCTCTGAGATATTTTACTTTGGATTTAGACATCTGAGCTAAACTTTGATGTGGGTCATAGGCCTTAGCCCAGGTTGTCAGGAGTTTCTTCAATTCTTTCATTCTTTGCTCCTGCTTAGTTAAGATCAGATTTCTTTCTTCTTCCAACATTTTCTTTTCCTCAAGTGATCTCCCCATGGCTTGTTCTCGTCCTCTGGATAACACTGTGGGCACTGCAGGTCTGCAGCCACAAGACGTGGTCTTTGCAGCTGTACTTCTTCCTGGTGACTATGCCTTGGAGACAGACAAGGGCAACATGTTTCTTCAAATTTTCTTCATTTGCCAAAACATTCTTTCAGCAGATTTACTTGAGGATGCACAAACATTAAGTGGTCTGCAGACTGTGGAGAGTTTTGGATTCTTGTGTTCTAAGAAGTGTTACTTATACTCCTCAGGAAGGTTTTCAACATCAGGAGTCTGGGACCTTGGTTTATGTTTATTCCCTTAACTTTCTAGCCTGTTCAGGGCCCTTGGGGTTCCTGACATGTTTGTGACCTGGTTTATAAGGCAGAGGGGATGAGTTCTGTAAAAGCTGTTGGCCTGTCATTTGGGTCCTAATGTTTCTGTTTTGTTTTTTGGTACCAGGGATCGAACTGGGGTCCTTGTGCTTACACAGCAGGAGGTGAAACCACTGAGCTAAATCCCCGGCCAGGTCCTAATGTTTCTAAGGAGCTCTTCTTCTTTTAATTTCTCACTGGTAGCTGAACTATAAACAGATCGAGGTATGGGTCTGGCTTTAAATCGATATGTTTCCCTTTTAGGCTTATACAAGTCTCTCAGTTGCTTTTCCCAGTCGCTTGCTGCTGTTCCTCCCTTGCAATGAATGTAAATGGCTTCTGGGAGGCCAAAAGAGTTTCTTTGTTTTTCTCCCTAGCCCTCCTCCTCCTTCATTTTGCTTAACTAGCTCATGATAAAGGGGAAGACGGACACTCCCGGGAACTGGATGGGCTCCAGATTTCCTCTTACACTCTTGAGTCTTCTTTGCTTTTGAGCAGTTTATGTACTATTTCACCATCTGATTTAGATTTCATGACCTCTTCTTTTTTCTTCTGTTCTCTAATCATTGTTTGAAAAGGTACAGGTATTGTAATTGTAGGCACCCATTCTTCTGGTTTCTTCCTTGTTTTTGCAGCTACTTGGAAGTCAGTATCTTCACTCTGAATATAATCTTCAACACAAAAGTCTCTCCACATGTTGCTGATGAGCTCCTTAGTGTAGGTCATTATTTTGTTTTTCCTGGGATGCTCTCTTTCTAGATTGGGCAGCTCTTCTTCAGAAGAAGTATACAAGGAGGAAGACTGGCCTAAGTCTGGCTCTGAAAGTGATGTCATTAACATGACAGGGCGGCAGGCGTTATTTTCCGATACAGAACTGGAAGAGTTGCTGGGAACATCTTCCCTGATGGTTACTGGATGAACTTCCCTTAAATTTAATTTATTCTGGTACATTTTCTCTAATTTTGCCATAGTTTCTATTTGGGCCGCCTTCAGCTCTTCTAGTTTCTTGAAATAGTCTTCATTAGTTGCACATATCAGAAAAGCTCACAATGTCTCCACAGTTTATACTTCTTTCCAGCACAAAAAAGTTGGTGTTGGAATCAGCCGACGCCCGCGCGGGCCACAACACCTTCTTCTAATCTTCTTCCTGCGAGGCGGCCACTGTCGCCGCCAGGGCCGCTAAAGGGTCTTCACGCTTGTACTGGGCGACCCGCGCTCCGGTGTTGGGATTTACCGGCAGGTGTTGACTGGCCACTGCCAGTCTCGAGTCCTGGTGCAAGGCTGACATCACCCCGCCCCCGAGGCTCCAGCGCCAGCGCTGGCCCGGGTGGGTAAGCTAGCGTAGCCTCCACAGACCTGGCAGCTTCGGAGACTGAATTTTTTTTTGAGTCAGGGTTTTGCTATGTAGTTCAGGCTGGATTCGAACTTGCGGTGTTCTTCCTGCCTCAGACTCCCAAGTGCTGGGACTACAGGCATGCGCCACCATGCCCAGCTTAGACTGAATTTTTAGATCTGACTTTTTTTGGCGGCGGGGGGTACCAGGGATCAAACTCTGGTCCTTACACTTGCGAGGCAGGCGCTGGAACCCCTGAGCTAAATCCCCGGCCCTAGATCTGATTTTTAATCTAATTCTTCCACTCTACTAAATGCCCTTTTTTTTTTTTTAAATGGACCTTCCTTCAGATGGCTTTCTAATTTCTTATATTCAGGGGCATCTAAGGGCATAGTGATTTATAGTGACTGTAATAGGTCTCATTTGTTTTTTACATATATTTGACCTTATTTAACCCTTCCAAAATGTCATTTTAAAAACAATTTACTCAAGTTTACCTAGCTAACAAGTAGTGGAACTTCAAATCCTGGTCTTTCCTTAATACCAGTGCTTGGGGGCCAGAGATTTAGCTCAGTGGTTCCACCGCCTGCCTTAATACCAGTGCTTTTCAAGCTGTCGTGTATGTATATTATGAAACCACCTGGGAGCCTTATAAAGTAGATTTAGATTCTGGCCCTGCCTCAGGCCTCCTGGGAGGCTCCATTGGGAACAAACTCTCAGGTCTCTCAATCCTGCTGCTTTCTAAACTGCTGTCCTGGGACCACATTCCTCACCAGCAAAACTTTACATCAAAGAAAAGTAGCTTTCACATCAGAAGAGCTTTCAGCCCAACTCTATGAATGGTTTTCTGACTTCAAAGCCAATCTATTACTACACAAAGCTGTTTCACTCTCCTCGAATATATCTCGTAAGGGCAACATTTCAAAAGGGGTACTTTTTGGTTTTTGTGCAAATAACCACACAAACTATTCTGGATTAATTCTAAAATATTAAGCATCAAAGAGTCAATCTATTGAAAATAACGATCACCCAGGGGTCTCTAATTAAGCACTATATTCAATGCCTCTACTGTTAAATGTTTTTTCTCCCCCATAATATGCATTCCCCAAAAAGAGTATCGTATTTATTTAAAGCTTCTTTAGACTTACTTTTTCCGGTCATAGCCAAAAATTTCTCGAATATGTTTTGATATTTCTTCCTGAGGTTCTCCTTCATCTTCAATAAAATCGTCCATTTCAGAGTCATATTCATCCTCATCAGCATCATCTTCTTCCTCTTCGTAATCTCGCTGCCTTTTGTAGCTGGCAGGGAAGGAAAGCCTTTGAGGACCTATGAACAGAAACCATTATTTGTAAGAACATTAAATCTTGAGGTCTTTCCGGCAGAGTTCTATATAAATTGAGATTATGAGAAATCATTAAGACAGTGGCCTTAAAACTGGAGAAAGCAGGCTGCTTCTCAGCACGGTGTCATTACATTATCTCGGCTGTGTATGTTCTCCAGAAGGGCCAGAACTCGGGTATACCCCAGTGCTTACTAGCAATGCTTTGTTACACTTTCTAGCTTAGTAGTGCCCATACTTCAGGGATTTCAAAGATCAGTAAAATTTCTAAAACTGAGTAAGTAAAACTTATAAACTGCAACAGAATTATTAACCAGCAAAAGCAGCACCTTCAAAGTTCTATCATCATAATTTCATTTAAGAAGCTTTAAATTCTGTGCATGCCGGTAGTTTCTTTCAGCTAGTTAGGAGGCTGGGGCAGAACTGCCTGAGCCTAGGAGTTTGAAGCCACCTGGGTAACACAGCAAGACTTTGTTTCAAAATGCAAAGTCCAAAAAAGTAAGAGACTCCCAGAATTATAGACACTGTTTAAACTGAGTAAATTTGACCTCAGGAAAAACACATCACCTTATTTTTGTCATTTTGCTAAAAGACTTTGCAAAAGACAGGAATTAATCAAAAGACGAATGTGGGAACAACTGCCGTCTAGCCTTTGACTAGACACTTCTATTGTTCTTCTACAATCGTTTGTAATATGCATGGCCTGTCTCCGCAACTCAGTTCCTCAACCTTGACACACTAATATTTGGGTGCTGTCTTGGGCATTGTTTGATGGCAGCATCCTTGGCCTCTATCCACTAGATCCTCATTAACACACCCTCGTTTACCCTATCCCTGTGACAATCAAAAATGTGTCCAGATAATCAATGCAAAATGTTCTCCCATGGCGGAGGATGGGGTGGTGATGGTGGTGGTTCTCTCAACCCTTGGTTGAGAATCAATGGTCCAGCTGAAATTAGAAAACTTAAAGGTGTGTTGCTGGCTTCTTTTTATATTCTCCGTGGTGCTTAACAAGTACAGTACTTTAACATGTGCCTAATAACATGAAGCAACCACTGCTTAGAAGCTGGTGGGTGCCACCAATGAGCCTGTACCCTGGGACAGCTGACTCTTACAGCAGCCGCAGTTAGGATCTTGAAGCAGCCATTATAAAGAGCAGAAACACAAGGACAGTCTAAAACATCTCTTGGGATGTAACAGGTGCTTAACAACTTTTTACTGAATCAACAGTGCACCCAAGGCTTCCTGTTTGCAATTATATTCTGATCCTTGAAGATTATCTTTTTCATGACTACTGAAGAAACCTAACTAAGGCATGCAGAATCACCCTATCTCACAAATGACAGTTTAAGGCACTTGGGCACATTGGAGTGTGAACACACCGGACCTTAGATAAGTCCCTTTCTAAAGACTTTTCCAAGCCATCATCAATAAAGGAACTCTCAAGCACAAAGCAAACAAAGTATCAGGCTCTATAACATGAGTACATTAAAGGGCACATGGAAGGGTTCACAGGGTTCCTGGTTATATAAAATAGAGTACTCTTCCTAATTTCTTAAGTGACACATGTATACTCTAGGGTGGGAGCCAATTTTACCTTGGGCAGATCTGTAGCCCGAGAGAGGAGGCTTCATTCCATTCATCTGTCCATTATCTGACCGGCTGATAATATTCTTAGAAGAAATCGTTTCCGAGACAACAGTGCACTTGGGCCTTATGGGGGGGCCTGGGCTGCTAACCGTTCGCCCAGGTCCTGAGCTGCTCACTGGTCTCCCAGGGCCTGAACTGTTAACAGTCCGTGCAGCGGGTACTGAGCCACTTATGGATCGTCCAGCACCACTGACCGGCCGCCCAGTGGGCCTGGCGCCACTTACAGGTCGTCGATCATGTGAACTGCTAATAGGCCGCTCAGAGCCTCCAGAGCTGCCCACAGGTCTCCTGGAATTACCTGAGCCACTGACCGGTCGCCCAGGACCACTTGTACCACTGACTGTCCGCCCAGAGGGATTTAAGTCACTGGACAGCTTCTTAGTTCCACTGACTGATCGCTTGGGTCCTGAGCTGGAGCTGCCATTCTGGCCCCTGGGAACAGAGCCAGAACTAAGTGTGGGCCGAGCGGTCCCCAGACTGGGCCGCCCAGGGGCTGAGCTGGAGGTGCTGCCTGGCTGTCTGACACCTGGACTCTTAGCCTTACTCTGGGGAGTGACAGTAGGCCCAGGTTTGGAATGGCTAGGATGGGAAGAAGGAAGTTTTTTGGCTTTGTACTCAGCAGCAGATTTCTGAGTTCCGCTAGCAGAAGTCTTTGGGACACTTGGGGAATAGGTGCTGGAGTAGGGCTTCACAGCCCCATTGAAAACAGGTCTGTCATGACCCTCACAAAGTGAGGGCTGGGAGCTGTTGCCAGATCCTGCCTTGGTTCTCTTTCCTGGCACGGATTTAGATGAAGACAAAGCTAAATGTTTCTCACTGGCTGTGCTGGGTCTGGATTTCTTCTCAGTATGAGGAAAGGACATTCCTTTGGAAGAAGGGTGCCTGTCCCCAGGAACTTTGTTAAGTTTTGTGCCCACACTTTCCTTCTGAGAGGATGCCTTTTTAGATACAGTTGGAGGTAGTTTCACATCTGTCTCCAGTTTCCTTTTCCTATGCTTTCGTTCAAGAAATTCTCGCTCCTTAAGTTCTTGTGCAGTCATAGGTCGCTCTTCTGTTTTCTTCACCACCTTGATCTCCACTGGTTCAAACTGCTTTTTCTCAGCCAGCCTCAGTAAATCGGTGAAGTTCATGGGTGGTGGGGCACTTTTAAGGGGGACCTTTGGTTTGCTTTCAACTTTAGGAGGTTCTTGTTCTTCCTCATACTCCTGCTCCAACTCCACCTGATTGTATTCTAAGAATTCATCCTCTTCTTCCATCTCGTACTCTTGGTCTGTTCCCTGGCTGGTGTGGCTTTCCATCGCCTGCCTCCTCTTTGACTTCTCCTCAATAGGAATCCCATTGTAACCATGAAAATTATCTTTTGTCCTCTTGGCCATAGCTCTTGCTTTCTTGTCATGTTTGAGCTCAATTCGTTTTTTCACTAGTTCTTCTTTTCTCCTTTTCTCTTCTAAGGCTAAAAGGGATAGAACAAGCACAGTTATTTCAAGATCTCAAGGCAGTAAGCAGAATGCTCATCTGAAACCAGCAGGTGGCCAAATCACAATGTTCAAGTTACAATTTCAAGTTTTCTAGGAATCAAATGAGGAAGTCATTTGAACAAGTATCAATTGACTCATCTTTATATAATCAGTGGGTCACATATGGGCTTTTCTATATGACTAAGCAAGTAAGAGACTTGGTTTTCAGTTTTAAACACGGAAAACAGTTTACACCAAATAAATAAACCAAGTGAACATTCATACCCACTTAGAAGATGCTAACAATTATGAATCAGAGAATACTTAAACATATGAATTCTATTATTTGTATGAAGCAAAACTGTATCTTGAACTTGATAGTTTAAAAAATATCACTAGGGCCGGGGATTTAGCTCAGTGGTTCCACTGCCTGCTTTGCAAGCGCGAGGTCCTGACTTAGATCCCCAGTACCAAAAAAAAAACAACAAATCACTATTTTAACTTTTTAAAATAGCACTCTTAGGCTGGGGATGTAGCTCAGTGGCACCACACCTGCCTGGCAAGCACAAGGTCTTGAGTTTGATCGCTGATTTGGGGAAAAAACAAAACAAGAAACAAAAAAACAAGTAGGAACAATTTCAGAACCAAGGTTAAAGCATAGAGTTCTTATTGGGAACTTACAATGGACAAGCTAAAGACAAGGTTACTAAACCTAACCTCCCCAATTTCATTTATTTTATTTCAAGAGACAAAGTCTTGTGTTCAGGCTTATCCCAAGTTCCCGGGTTCAAGTGATCCTCCTGTCTCAACCTTCCAAGTAGCCGGGACTATATGTGTGTGCCACTATGCTCAGCCCCAGAAAGCCGTTAATTAAAGGGAGGATAAAAGAAAACTTCTATACAAATGACCAAAATATGAACATGCATTAAAGCCATAAATATAGTTAACCCAGGCATACATACACCTACACAGTGCAATTCATTGGCCTGTTGTTTTTAGAAACATCTGCTAGTATCCTCAAAAACTAAAAACACCTGGTCATAGTGGTGAACACCTGTAATCCCAGCACTCTGGAGGCTGAGGCAGGAGGACTGCTGTGAGTTCGAGACCAGCCTGAGCTACATAGTGAGTTCAAGGACAGCCTGAATAGCACAGCAAGACCTTGTCTCAAAAAAAAAAAAAAAGGGCCGGGGATTTAGCTCAGTGGTTCCAGCACCTTCCTCACAAGCACAAGGTCCAGAGTTCAATCCCTGGTACCAAAAAAAAAACAATGTGTTATGTACGTGTGCCAGCTCCATGATGAATGTAATCATTCTGTACTGCAAACATGTAGTAATTAAAATTTTTAGGGCAGGGATTTAGCTCAGTGGTTCCACCGCCTACCTCACAAAATCGCAAGCTCAACAACCCGAGTTCGATCCCAGGTCCCAAAAAAATAAAATAAAATAAAATTTTTAAAAAAGAGACATCACTTCTCAGCCTTTTGGCTAAGATCAAGTGTAAAATTTAAAGAAACATCCACTGGTAAATACAAACTAAACAGGTACATAGAAGACCAAAATTGAAAATAGGTATAGAGATACATACCCTTTCGTCTGAGCTCCTCTTCTTTTCTTCTAAGAAAAGCTTGTACAGCTGCTGATTGGACACCTTTAACTTTTGGGTCTTTCTTAGGAGGTCCCACTGCCAAACTATACCTTTTCTAAAAATAGAAACAGAATAAACATTATAAGCAATTCAAATTTCAAAATATTCTGTCTGGGACTAGAAGTGTAGCTCAGAGCCAGAATGCGAGGCTTCCTCAGAAATAAGCATCTCAAAGTTCAACTTTTCAAACAAATAGAAAAAACTCCTTACAACTGTTTTCTATTCTGACTATGGCTACTCCACGTGATCGTCTAGCTGGGACACACACTGCAAAGGTTATTTGCTTAGAACATGGAAACACTGCGATTTTGATACCACAGACAGGCAAAGGCTAGGGCAGCACCTTAAAGAAATCTTGAGAAGCACCTCAAACAATGTTTGCCTGGCATGTATGAGCCCTTGGGTTTGTTCCCCAGCACCACACACACACACACACACACACACACACACACACACACAAGTTAATAAATACAAGATGGTATAGGGGTTACACACCTGTAATCCCAGCTACTCAAGGAACTGGGGCAGGAGGATCACAAATTCAAGCTCAGCCTTGGCAACTCAGTGAGATTATCTCAAAGTAAAAAATGAAAAAAAGGGCCGGGGATTTAGCTCAGTGGTTTCACTGCCTGCTGCGCAAGCCCAAGGACCCGAGTTCGATCTCTGGTACCACAAAAAAAAAAAGAAAAGAAAAAAAGGCTACAAATGTAGCTCAGTACAAAGACCCTAGGTTTGATCCCCAGTACCACAAATACATAAATACAAGGTGTGTGTGGGGGGGGCTAAACAGAGAGAAGAGCCCAATTCTCTATAATCTTTAACTGCAGTTCTTGTATTATCAATTTGCTACATAAACTGTCTTTTAGACAGGTTACCATATCACCCCCAAAAGTGGTAACACTATCCTGTCTCTGGACTTTGTATGTAACTGCAGAGGGAAATTACTAAAAAAATAATTGGAACTATGAAAGGAAAACTATTTCTATTTTGTGAGGATCTATTAGAAGTATAATAAACAGAGCTATTCAGATCAGAGATGATGCACCTTTAGGATCCTTCTATATTAAATCTATGAGGTAGGAAATAAGATTTTTTAAAAAGATTTTTTTTTTTTTTTTTTTGCAGTGCTGGGGAACAAATCCACAGTCCTGTGCATATAAACCGACCACTCTACCAATGAGCTATACCCTCAGCCCTGGAAATAAGATTTTAATTTTTTTTTTTTTTTATGGTACCAGGGAATCGAACTTGGGTCCTTGCGCTTATGAGGCCGGCGGTGGAACCTGGAAATAAGATTTTAAAGTATTCTCCCTCTTTTGTCTTGTTAGGCAGATGCCATTTTCATCTATTGAACCTGCTGCTATTTGTAGAAAAAGACAATCTGAGACCACAGCAAGCAACTTATAAAACAAAAAAAAAGTATTTCCAGTGTGTATGAAACTCCTGGAGGAAAGCCAAAGGGTCTGTACTTTTTATATTTATGGCTGCCAAATACAAAGTTTCTTGAAACAGGCTGAAGTTCCAACTAAATTAGTTTACCAATCAAGCAGCTGGCCAATTAGGCAGGCCCTAATCCAACCTGAAGATCGTGCGTGGTAGCAATGCTGAGAACTGACACATCCCTGACAGAGAAATCCCAAGACAGCATCCACTACGGCTGGGACACAATGAGATCCTGGAGTTAGTCCACATTTTTACATCTTTATAACTGAATTGTAGACTCTACAGTGAATAGAGGGCCCATATATAAAAGAAAGGAAAAAGACAGGAGGGAGAGGGAGGGGGAGAGGGAGAGAGAGAGGGGACAGAACACTGAGAAAGAGAATATTGCTAACCTAACTAGATATATAACATTTACAAAAGAACTTCGAGTCTAGGCCTTATCCATAAAAAACTACCATGGTGGGGCTGGGGATTTAGCTCAGTGGTTCTGCTGCCTGCCTTGCAAGCGAAAGGTCCTGAGTTCAATCCCCAGTACACCCCCCCCCCAACAAAAAACTACCATGGGAATGCTACCATGCATAAAAACAGCAAATCTGAATTGATTAACACATACAAAGACCCATAAACAGTCACACACTAACTATCTATCAGAAAGATCCGGAAGAGGAAACTTAGATTTTTGTTGTCAAGACCTAAGATTTGGGCCAGGGATTTAGCTCAGTGGTTTCGCCACCTGCTGCGCAAGTGCAACAAGCCGAGTTCCCCAGTACCAAAAAAAAAAAAAGACCTAAGATTTTCCTGTTACTGCCTAACTACATACACAATTGATAGGGCTGAGGGTGTAGCTCAGTGGTACAGCACTTGCCTAGCACATGTAAGACCCTGGGTTTGATGCCCTGCACTACAAAAACTATATATATATATATATATATATATATATATATATATATATAGCTCACAGTCACCTGCCAAATCACAGCTTACGCGGGGTTTGCTCCGGAAGAACGTGCCTGTAATGGTCTGTTACTCATGTACAGCAGGACTGGTCTGTTGACTGGGTCATCGGAACACCAGAGTTACCTAACATGATTTTCTGAGTTCTTTTGTCCTTACCCTGGGATTTTAAGAGACAGAAATGGGGATGTGGACTAACAGAAAAGCTGCTCCTCGCTGCATACTGGTACTCAAAAGAGAAAGTGCCAACGGGGCAGAGTTGAATGCAGTGTTTACCAAGCGTCCGGCCCCTGCACATCACCGCATGGTCTCCGCCCTTTCGGTACCCTACCTGTAACCCACCCACCCACCCCCCACGCTTTGAGACAGGGTCTTGCTATGTACCCCAGGCTGGCCTTTAACTTGCGGTCCTCCTGCCTCAGCTTCCTGAGGGTTGGGATTACAGCCACGTGCCACCATGTCTGGTTCCTGTAATATTATTGACTAATTTAAGAGAAGTAAAATAGACCTAACACTATGATTTATAACTATATTGCTGAGCTTTACCTCACCAATATCCTGAAACGACTGACTTGAAAATCTAGTTACAGTCTTAAAATTCATATAAAAATATATAACTATTAAAATATCTGTACATCTGTACACCTGAAATCATGTATGGCCAAGCCCAAATGTACTGCCCTTTAAGAAACACTGAATTAGAGAACAAAAATACAGGAAAGGTACACAAACAAGGAAAGGGGTATTTAAGAACTCAGCTTTAGGGCCGGGGATGTAGCTCAGTGGTTCCGCCACCTGCCTCGCAAGCACAAGGACCCGAGTTCAATCCCCAGTACCAAAAAAAAGAACTCAGCTTTGTTCTGAAAAGAATTACAAAGACTACTTTTAATTTTTTTCAAACTATTCATCTGTTCCCATCAATTCATTTGCCTATTTCAAATTCTGCTTTTTATTTTTTGCTTAAATTCTTTTATTGGTACATTTTAGGTATACAATACATTTACATTTATCATTGGGTGCTCATACCCATACATGATGTATCTTGGTTATTTTTTTCTCCCATTACCTGTGCGCCCTTCATCCCTCCACCCTTCCCTATTTACATATACTTCTTTCATTTCCATTTTTTTTTCTTTTCTCATAATTTTTCCTTTCCATTCTTTCCTTTCCCCATCTCCTCCCACCATCCCTATCCCTTTGGACCTTTTCCTATTTTCAAAGTATCAATTATTAGTTATTAATCCTTTTAGTCCTTATTTACACTCTCAGTTTCTCACACTAGAGAAACTATTTGGTATATACACATGTGTCTTATTTCACTTAAAGAGTATGGCCTTCACCTGCCTTGCAAGTGCAAGGACCCGAGTTCGATCCCTGGTACCAAAAAAAAAAGTCCCCAAAGAGTATGGCCTCAATATGCATCCATTTAGCTATAAATGACTCTAGTTTCTCATTCTTTATGGCTGAGTAGTACTCCATTTTATTAAAAAACCCACATCTTCTTTATCCAGTTTCCAGTTGATGGGCACTTGGGCTATTTCCAAGCTTTAGCTATTACAAACTGTGCCGGTATGAACATGGGTACACATGTATCTCTGTGGTATGATTCTTTTAATTCTTTGGAGAAAATACCCAGCAGGGGAATAGCTGGGTCAAATGGGACCTCCAGCCCTAGTTCTTTGAGGTATCTTCACCAAATTATACTTTTTTTAAAAAATGTAAGTTTTTTTGTTTTTTTTTTTTGGTACTGGGGATTGAACTCGGGACCTTGTGCTTGTGAGGCAGGCACCAGAACCACTGAGCTAACACCCCCCCTACCCCCACCCCCCACCCCCGGCCCAACACTAAGTATTGTTGGGCATGGTGGTGGACACCTATAATCCCAGCACTCAGGAGGCTAAGGCAGCAGGATCACTAGGAGTTCCAGGCCAGCCTGGACTACAAAGTAAGACCCTGCCTCAAACTACCAAACAAACAAAAAACCCACCAAGTCTTAAAGATACTTAAGCTGGCCTCATATTTAACCCAATACTGGTTATTCTATGCAGAAGGAATTAACAAATCTACAAATGTCTATTTTGTGGATCTGCTAGGAAATGACTTAAAAAATAACCCATAGATAGAGCAAGGTCTGTGCTGCTTTAGTGACGCTGAATCTTGTTTACTGACTTAATCTTGTTTACATGAACTAAGTCATAATGGCTTCTTATATCCCCTGAAAGTGGAAAAGTGCACTCAAATACACAGATACCTAAAAAATATTTAAAAATTTTGTCAGGCAAAATTTAGATCACAACCTAGAAATCTAGGGGAGTAGGGAGAGCTGGGTCACCACAGATCATCATTTTATTTAGCATTTTTGAGATTTAATTTACAGGTCATAAAATCCACCCATTTGGTATGTACAATTTTTGGTGTATTCAAAGTTGTACAACCATCACAGATTCTAGAACATTTTCATCATCTCAAAATGACACCCTTCCCCCTTTAGTAGTTACTCCCCTTCCCCTCTCCCCACAGCTCCTGGCAACCAATAATGTACTGTCTGCCTGTCTCTATGGACGGACACATTGTAGCCACTGCATGTAAGTGAAATCATATCATATAGAGCCGTGATGGTTAATTTTAATTTTGTGTGTTAACTTGGCTAGGCTACAG